CTCGGCGGCGGGGCGCGGGCCGATTGTTACCGCACAAGAGCCGGCCCGGGCGACGCCCCGCCGAGCCTGCGCCCCAGCGCCCGCCAGCGCTCGCGGAGGCCGCCGCTTCCAGGAAGCCTCCCGGGACTGCGCCCTCCCATGCGCTGAGGTCCTGCGGCCGGCTGCCGACGAGCTTACCTCGTAAGTGTTGCTGCAGGTTGCCACCCCGAGCCAGGGACAAGGCCCGGTCTTCCTGGGGGCCTCCCCGGGGAAGCGTGCGGCGCCTGCCCCCCGAGAGCTGTACGCTTTCCAGTCTGGGGGGACCGGGCAGGGCAGTAGGCAGATAACCCCGATGTGGTTTGGTAAAGGTCTGGGGCCAGGGGGAACAGCAGGTGCAAAGGCCCGGGGGGCAAGGGGTTGAAAGCAAGTCGAGAGGAGGGGGTCAGCTGGAAGGTAAGCAGGGACCTTCATGGAGTTTGCCATAGGTTCAAGGGAAGCCCATGGTAGGTCCACACAGACTGAGGGACTGGTTATCCGCCTATAACCAGGGTCAGCAGGGCTGCGCAGAGCTCGCACAGAGTTTTGCTCTGCGCTGCTGGCCAGCTGACAGCAACTGGGGTTTCCCACTTTGTCCTCTGAGGTGAGGCGAGGCTGCCTGAGTCCTGCCTTGTCTGGGAGGTCTGCCCCTACACTTCTTAACTGTCTGCTCCTTCATCTTCGTTTTCTGTGGACACTTGGGGGCTGAACCCAGGCCCTTGTTCATGCTGAGCCAGAGCTTTACCACTGAGCCATTCTCCCAGCCCTTTAAGACTTTAAAAATTAAGATAACTCATTACCTTCACAGAACATTTGGAAAGTTCTCCATAAACTGGCCACCTACAGAAAACCAGTTAATTGTTGAATTCTCCTCCGATGGTTCTCAAATACATCTCTTTCCATACATCTTAAAAATATTTAATTTGGGGGGCTGGAGAGATGGCTCAGCAGTTAATAGCACTGACTGCTCTTGCAGAGGACCGGGGTTTGATTCCCAGCACCAACATGGCAGCTATGAACGGTCCTTAACTCCAATTCCATAGGAATCCAAAACCCCCTTCTGACATCCATGGCATTGAACGATACAGGTGCACTTACTTACATGCAGGCAATACACTCATACACATAAAAT